GCACCGTCGAAGACCAATCCTGGAGCAACAATTTGCATTCGGGTGGTGAGAAACGCATCCCAAACATTCTCAAATTGCTACTCAAAGTGTTCAGAAGACCCTGCATCTTGTCAGCATCTTCACCTAACAGGACTATGTCATCTGCGTATTCTCCACCGGTTACGTCAACCTCTGTGTAGTTAAGTGACGAGAGGGAGATCTCCATAAGAATATCTATAATAAAATTGAATGACAATGGAAACAATGGGCACCCTTGACGGACGCCACTCGATGAGCATAGTTCCCTGGACATCTTACTACAGGCTCTAACACACCCACAAGTGTTCGAATAGAGAGCTTTCAATAAAGTGATGTACTTACTTGGCACGCCTTTCAGCGAGAGACATTGCCATAAGACTTCTTGATCAACGGAGTCAAATACCGCCTTCAGGTGGAGAAATTCAGCTATTGTCGGGAGTCGGTAAGCATGTCTATGTTCCAAAACTAGTCGCTGTGTGAATATTTGGTCGACACACCTGCGGCCGGGTCTAAAGCCTGTCTGGTTTTCTCGGGCTTGTTGTTCCCGAGCTCCACTCAGGCGCAGAAGAATTTTGGATACTGTGTTCCTCAGACTGATTCCTCTGTGGTTATCACAAAAGGACTTGTCGCCTTTCTTGACCAGGATAATAAGTGATTTAGACCAGTCAGAGGGGATCGTATTTGATTCCCATATACTAGTTAACACTTCCGTTAACCTGACTAAGAGCACCTCACCATCATCCTTGTATACCTCAGGAGTTAATCCGTCTTGTCCTGCCGCCTTTCCTAGTTTCAGGTTACCTACTGCTTTTTCAACTTCTCCTAGTGTTGCAGGGGGGTCTATCTTAATGTTCCATTCGAGATCCGACTGCATAGCAGACAACGCAATGGTGGCTGAAGGCCACTTAAACTGTTCCTCGAAATGTTCTGCTCATCGTCCCAGTCTTCTCCCCTGAGAGTGAATCGCAGATCCGTCCTTCTCCTCTATAGCCTCACTAACGACCTTTTCCCCCCAGTCTCCTTAATAAGTCTAAATACCTGTCTACTGTTGCCAATCACCGCTGCCTTTTCCATCTCTTTAGCCTTCGCTGCGTGGACTTTTTCAATCTACTTTTAAGTTGTGCCCGCTCTTCATTGTACTCAGAGCCTGCAGAGATGCCTTCACGTGTATCCATTAGTTCAGAAGAAGCTGCTGATATCCACTGGTTCTTTTTAGCCACTCTTTCGGAATCGATTACGGTCTCCAGTGCTGCTTTAGCCGCAGACTGGAGATGGCACCAAGCTTCTTCTGGATGAGTGATGGTGTTCTGTTCCGAAAACTGCCTAGCCTACTTCTCACTGAACACGGCTTTAGTGTTTTCTTTGTCCAGAAGTACTCGTAGTGGTTTTGTTGCGAAATTTTCCTTACATCCATTGAGACACAGGCATATACGCACCGAGACCGAGGCACGGTCGCTATCCAAACACGTACTCTAGAAGGAGTGGCAGTCTTCCACCGATCCTTTCCAGCGATGACTAATAGCAAAGCGGTCTACCTGTGTCTATTGCTGAGTTGAGCTCGGTGAACGCCACGTCAAACAGTGTCTTTCTTTATGTCTAAACTTTGTGCTGGCTAAAAATAGGCGGTTATCTGAGCATAGTTGTAGTAGGCGATCACTGTTATCTGTACGTTCAACCTGGACTCCGAAAGTGCCACCTAAGTGCCTTTCTGCCTTACTCAGTCTACCCACCTGTGCGTTGAAATCACATGCAACAACCACCAAGTCCGAACGTTTGGCTTTCGAGAAGAGGCTAGACAGTTTACGGTAGAACTCGTCCTTCACTTCATCCGAACTACAGTCAGTGGGTGCGTAAGCAGAGATTACAAAGAGACAACGGCAAGTTTCACTATTCCTTTTAGTTCTCACTGTGCCGTTCAGCCTCATAGCGCAGAGGCGACCATCAACTGGGATCCAGTCTAGTATTGAGTTTTCTGCCCTAGTGCTTAGTGCTATGCCTACACCTGCAAGACCACGAGAGCTAGCTATCGAATCTCCAGGAACTCGAAGGGTGGATTTTGAGGATTCATCAGATTGGCCGGGATAGGTTAAGTGAATAACCGCACTTGCGTTCTGTATGCGTGTTTCACAAACGCAGTACACATCCATGCCTCGAGTTGCCAGTCTTGGCCAACGAAGCCTGTTGACCAATTTGACGGAGAGTGCGGACATTGAAGGCTCCAATATGTAATTTGGAGCGTGGTTTAGGGAGACCAAGGATACTGTTTTGTGGAAGCAGATCGTTGTCGAAGGCTGTATAGCTAGGAGAAATTGCAGATGATGTAGTATCGATAGTTGAGAGACGTGAAAGAAGATTAGAAGGTAATGATGGGGGAGATGGATAGCAATCTGAGGAAACTTGAGTACTGACAGAGTTGTGTGGGCGGCTGATACCTCCCGGCTGCCGACACCATGGAAGTCTATTTCTTCTTAAGGTACCTAAAAGAGATTTGCGTGACCTCAGAGCCCATCGGCCATCTGCTTGAGGCCTGCTATAGGCAGCCTTTTGTGTGATTATTTTGAACTTTTGTATTTTTGGGGCCGGATAGTCGATGAGAAACGACAAATGAACCAACACTGCCAGCCCGGCAGACCGTGGGGCATAGTGGAGTGTTATTTTGGGGCCGACCTTTCCTAAGCCCCCCTCCCACTGAGAGGACAGCATCATCATGGCACTGCTGGTCATCCAAGGGAAATATCTTGCTGCTGTCACATCCCATCCAGCTAGCAGCAGTACGACTTCGCCCTCAGACCCCCATCATAGTGTAGTAATTTACACCACAATGGTAAGTGCTTTTCGCCTAACCACTATCCAACATACCTTTCTGGTATGGTAGGACCTCGAGGGAACAAGTGTTCCACCAGCATAGTTCGTTGGGTAATTGTGATATGCAAGCTTGACCACCACGTCAAGGTATCAGCTATCAGTCGGGAGCTCGGATACAAAAGGATCTTTTAGCATTTGCCAAATTGCGTCATCTGTGGCACCAACGAGATGTTCGACTACCAATTAGAAGATGAGTATACTATGATCCAGCCCTTCCTGTTGTATCATACAGCTGAAACATGGTCGTTGAAAGTAGATATGAAGAGACTACAGGTTTTTGATCGTAGGCGTCTGCGCATCGTTGTTCATGTATGCTGGAATCATAATATGAGTAATATCGACGTTAAGTGGAGGGTATTAGGCAAGTTGGTTGTAGTTTTGGCGAACCTTCAGTGACTGAATTGGCTTGATTGCCGCCTACCTTGATGTTCAATGTTAATCGAAATAGGATTGAGTTTGGAGAAGGCTGAGGATGTTCCAACGAAGACGTAGCACCAGTTGATGAAGGCTGATTGTTGGTCTGAATCATATAGAAAGGTGTCGGCTGACTAACTGGGATCCGCGAGACAGCAGTAAGTAATTAGAAACTCTTGGTGATATGGCTTAAAGTCAGTGACAATTTCTCAGATAAATTCATTATTTGTCATTTTCAAGGTCTTGAGTGTTTTGACTAACTTCATATATTTATCCACACAACTGTCTTACACCTTTGTTAACCTTAATATCACTTTCTATCCACTCCTTTGCATTCTACTGTGTAATTTGAAAAGTTTTTACTGATGAGCTTCTGTACTGAGTTCTACGTTCTACACCAAGCATATCCAGCTTTAACATTATGATTAGTTTCAAAATTGTAGCCTCACGTTTCAAACCGAAGAATATTTTTGTCGAGAAAAGAGCATTTAGTGATTCGAGATGCCGAAGGTTATCACCATCAAGATCAACATGGGGCTGGGCATTACTGCCTAACGGTCCAACTTTCCAGCTACACCTCATATCAGCACATGAAATAACAAAATAATAAAATGGAAGATAAAAAAGGAGAAAAGTCGGTCAAAGGAAGTAGAAGGTAGTAAAAGAGAGGAAGGAAAATGAAATGATGAGATTAAGTATAGCGGTTAAGATGAGGATGATGTGTGTGTGTGTGTGTGTGTACACATCTGTGCCACTGACATCGGTTCTGAGCCGAGGGTAAAGTAGTGAAAATGCTTGTTTGGGTGTTTTATTTTTTGCTGTGGTTGTAAACATTGGTTACATTGGTTTAGCTACCTCTGCATACCGACTTCTCCCTCTTATTTTCCCTTTCCGACTATATTTTTATTGTGTTTTCAGCTATCTTCTTTTTTTCAATTAGTTTCTGTAATGGAACATTTTTTGCAACCATCGAACTTGATAAAAGCCATTTTAGTTATAAATATGACCATATGATTATACGTGTCTTCGTAGCATTGCTCGTGCTTTTGGTGGACTCACAGTGTAAACAGTGTTAAGGTCAGGCGAAGGGTACCAGAAAAGATAGGCAAGTCGATTGATAAGGTTCTGAACTTTAGTGGACTGATATGGCTTGGACATGTGTCGCGCATGCTGAGTCACCCTCTAGCTCAACGTACCATGCTAGGGAAAGCCGGATTCAGGGTGGCCAGACGAAGACGTGGCACCAGTCAATGAAGTCCGTAACTGTTGGTCTTAGCTGCGTTGAGATGTAAAGTGTTTGGTTGGGGTTCTTAAAACGATAAGAATCAGTGGTTGATATGTCTGACAATTGATCACAATGGCTCAGATGTATTCACTCTTGAACGTCTTCTAAAGCTTGAATATTCTCAGTAATCTTTATCTTCAAATTGCTTCCCTCATACAACTTTGTCCACTTTGATATTATTCTTATTCTATCCATCTGTTGTTTGTTTACTTGTGCGAAGTTTGTGTGTAATGTTCTACGTTGATTGCCTGGTAAATATGACTTAAATCTTCTGTACAAATAAGCATATGATCATTTTACTCCACTAGAACTTTAGCAAGCTTAGTGTATAATAGTGTTATGCGTTTCATTTCCCTTTGATTGCTAACTTACTTGTTATATAAAAGTATAAGTAAAATATTTTACACTTTTAATACAGGTGGATATTTCCAACATTCTACTTTCACAGTTTCCTGATCCTCAACATCCATATATATCTAAAAGTATTGCATATTCATGGAAAGCATGTCAAATATGGGATCTAAGTTATCTTTCAAATGAAATAAACAATCCTATAAAATTTCGCCTTGGCAAAAAACAATGTACCCATATACAATGGGAACCATCCTGTCCATATGTTATTGCTACAATAACAGAATTTAATAATTGGATAAATGGAGTGGACAGTGTAAATAATCCTTTTAATGCATATCCTAAAGAAATTTGGTGGGCTTATGCAGACTACATACATATGTCACAGTGTTCAGAATTTAAAAAATTGATCAAAGATTTATCATTTGAAGAATTGTTCCCATTTTTAATCAATAATATCAATCCAACATTTTGGCTTGGATCATCTAAAGCTCATACTATTTGTCATCGTGATACCTATGGTGTTAACTTAGTTGTACAAATTCATGGTTCAAAACGTTGGATATTGTTTCCACCATCAGATAATCCATATATGTATGAAACTAGATTACCATTAGAAGAGTCTACTGTATTTAGTCAAGTTAATTTTACATTACCTAATTACAAAGAACATCCTCTTGTATTGAGAACAACTCCTTATACTGTGACACTTAATCCAGGCGATATTCTCTATGTTCCAAGAAATTGGTGGCATTTTGTTGAATCATTATCTAATTATGATTATACTTGTTCAGTAAATTTATGGATTGATCAACCTTATCTTGATAATAAAGTACGCTTTAGAGAAAGTCTTACTCAATTAATCACTTTCTCATTGATATCCAATTGTAAGCATATTGATCATAGAAGATTATTGCATCCTTTTGAGTTAAAAACCTATGAAACAGAAACATGGTTCACAAATTTAGTGGATTATTTACGATTACTTTATCGTCAGAATTTTGAAATACTTTCATCAGAGGATAAAGAAAAGGAAGAAAAGGTTAAAAAAAGTAAAATTTTCCCCACTATCGATTGGAAGCCTTTAGTTTCAGAAAAGTTAAACAACTTATACCAATCTTTGGAAAATGATTGTCAATTCAATGTGATGAATACGCTTAGTTTTGAAAATATCATTAATGCATTTATAAAACCAGATGTTATTGAATTAGTTGCTAAACACCTTGAAAGTGATATTATCAATAAAAGTTTATAGAAAAAACAAAGGAAACTTTGTTATAATTGTTTTTTTTTTTTTGTCTGACTATTTCCTCTTTAATCATATTTAAACCTTAATAATCATATTTATTTTAGGTAGATCATACTTATCTTTATTGGATAATTAATTAGGTGGTATGCAAACACAAATATGTCCACCACATTCATTAGGCGATTTACTGAAACTTCGCTGTCGTTATCGTACTGGACAGTACTCTTTGGAGAATCTTTCTTCGAATTCAACTATTGATGATTTACTTCAGACAATTGCTTCTCTTATAGGTGTGACACGATCATGTATATCTCTTTTCTACGGATATCCTCCAAAAAAGTTGGATTGTAGCATTTCAAGTCTTACTAAACGTTTATCCGAGGTTAGTTATATCTTGTTACTTCATTTGTCTTCAGGAAATTCTGTAGTATAAGGTTACTAGGTTGCATATATTTATTTCATTATCTTAGCATGTTTTAATTTTGTTGTTTTTAGTAAATAGTACATCATCATCATTATCAACATAGGACCAGGCATTACTGCGTAACAGTCCGAGTTGCCACACCTCATATCAGCACATCAAGTAAAAAGGTAGTGAGGTGAAGGATGAAGATAAGTGAATGTAGTCAAAAGAAATATAAAGTACGAGAAGAAAGGAAAGACGAGTGACAAAATGGTGAGATTCCGTATAGTGTTGTTAAGATGAGGATAATATGTGTATACATCTGCGCCACTGACATCGGTTCTGAGCCATTTGATCACCTAGGGTCTCCAACCACTGCTTCCTCTTGTCCCGCGGACCCCAACCACCTAGTTTGCATCGCCCCACATGGCTTAAACCAACAGTCAGAGACTTCATACATTGGTGCCATGTTTTAGTCTGGCCACCTCGGGCCTTTTGCCAGCCTGGACCCACCTCAGCCAACATTGTGTGATGAGGCAATCGGTGACTAGGCATACGTAGTACGTGTCCCAACCATCTCAGTCGATGAAGGTTCACAACCTCGTCAACTGATTTACCTCTTCTCCCCAAAACTCTACACCTAACTTCTGCATTACTCACATGGTGACACTACGGAATACGTCCTATACTATGAAGTCAACGGTGGTCAAACACCTGAAGCCTTTTTGTATCCTCCACTTTCAATGGTCATGTTTCAGAGCCATACAGTAGAACAGAGCGGACTGCTGTGCAGTACACGCGACCCTTAATAGACAAAGGGATATGACGGCGGCGCCATATGTGGCGCAAATTGGCAAAAGCCAATCGAGCCTTTTGTATCCGTGCAGAAATCTCATCGGCAACTAACCCACCAGGGTTGATCCTACTTCCCAGGTAAGTGAAGTGGTCAACACAGTCAACCACTTCACTCTCTATTGTTAGCCGCAGTACCGCTGAAGACCAGTCCTGGAGCAAAAATTTGCATTTGGGTGGTAAAAATCGCATCCCAAACATTCTCAAATTCCCACTCAAAGTGTTCAGAAGACTCTGCATCTTGTCAGCGTCTTCACCTAACAGGACTATGTCATCTGCATATTCTAGATCTAAAGAAAATTCACCTGTGATTGGGTCAATGTCTGTGTAATTAGGTGACGAGAGGGAAACCTCCATAAGAATATCTATGATAAAATTAAATAAGAATGGGGATAGTGGGCATCCTTGACGGACACCACTTGATGAGTATAGCCCCCTGGACAAGAGTACATGGAGCTGTGATTGATTGGCTTAGGCAATTAACTTTCACTCAATGCGTCATGGATTCGAACCCCTTCTCAACTAACAAAATCTGGACATTCACGTAGTAGAATTAAATCTCATGAAGGTGGATGCAGTTAATGAGTCAATTTCAAGTGAATAGCACTTCAACAAGATATAATAATTCGTTAGTATTTTCAACACGATTTTCAAGTGGTTATTTCCTTATTCGTACAAGATAAATCGAGTATCGAATTAGTTATAATCCCTACTTTCTATAATCATTTGAGTGCAGTTATAAAACAAAATGAGTCCTTATTAGATTTGTTTATTGGGTATATGCTGCTCAGTAATGGGGTGTTATTTACTGGATGACGTTCCGAGGATAAATTATCATTGCTTATAATCATATCAATGCAATCACACTCCTTTCCATGTCTGATTTTCATAATCATGTCACCTCATATTCTCCGGTATAGGTGTTGTATCATTCCTAATAAAAATGCTGGGTGTAGATTCGATGAACAATGACTCAGTACTTCACACCTAACTATATTGGTGTTATCCCACTCACCCTATTGTGTACTTGTGTGTTAATGCATGCATTGCAATAGTCGAGTGTATTTCCTGGATTATTGATCTTATTCAGGTCTATCATCCTCATATTTAGCTAAATTTCTCTGTTTGGCTATTCTAAGTGACCCTGACCAACCAGGATAGTTTGACCTATGTAATTAACCTCACAGTCATTACATGCAATTTGATAGATTAGATTATTTTGCCGAATTGGTTCTATCGGATTGTTAAGCCAACCGGCAACGCTTATCTTTAAGTGAGTTTGTAGGTTTAAATGTCATCCTAATTCCAACTTTGTTGAGGATCCTACATGTAAAATTTCTTATGCACCTTCTTTATAGGGTAACACAATGGAGACTGTGAACTCCTTTCTACTCATATCTTCATTATTCGTACTGATATGTGTGTTCGTACGAATTTCTTACTAAACTGTGCAGGATAATTGTTAATCATTAATGTTTCTCTTATGTGTTTCAGTTCCAAACACAATAGGTTGGAATAAAACCACTATACTTAAGTCCAATATAATTAGGTGAAGGAACAGAGAGACGTGGATTGATTACTGAATCTTAGTTCATCGAATCAGCCAACACCCAACATATGTAACAGGAATATGACCTCAACACTTATGCGAGAGATATGAAAATAAAAACAAAGAATGATAAGGTGATAGGATTAATAAAACTCATACATGGAAAATGGTGTGGTGTGATTACACATTGATATGATTATGAGCAATGATAATTTATGCTCGAAACGTCATCCACTATATATATCAACTAAACGAATCTAATATAGAATGATATTCTACCACAATGCCCTAGTCTTATACTTATAAAATGAATCCATATTAATCTGTAGATTCGTTATAGTAAAAGATATTTGGTCTGACGATTTCAGGTTGACCTTAGTTCTTGAAAAATGAAAAGGATTAATTGTTGTACTGGTTTATTTAAGGTATCATAATTGCTTGATTTAAACAGCAATAAAACAAGATATATATCAGTTTGATAAAAGCTTAGATTTACTCTCAAATGAAGTTATTGACCAATAGATAAATATCAACAAAATACATTCTGGTTTTACTGGATAACTTCTTCAACTTGTTGAAATTTAAGGTCCCGTGTAAAGTCGTCATATAGTAGACAAAATCATTTATCCCTTGAATGTATTTTACTAGAAACTAATTCTTAACATTGTTTGGAACAATAACTCTGATAGAAATCTATTCAACAACAACCTTGTGCACACTCGTTCAATAGTCAATGAGCCACACTTATTGTATATAAGGCTTAATGATAATATCTGTCTGTCTACCTGAATCTCAGTAAGTAGAGGAGGTGCATTTGAAATAGTGACTCATTGTTTGCGAATCAAGTGATTAACTACAATTCATATGTCCTAATAAAAAGTGACTCCTGAACTCAGTGTCAAATGATTTATGATACCGAGTTTATACATATATATATATATATATATATATATATATATATATATATATATATATTACCCTGTAGAATAAACTATTCTCTACCATAAATGGATTGTATTCTAAAGTATTATCTAATGGGTTCAATGCGTTCACATGGTGTTATCATAATCGTTTACAAATATAAAATTTCATAATTTCAAGTAATCCCAATATTTTACTAAGTTATGGCTCAGTGGCGAAGATGTGTGCATACATTATCCTCATCTTAACGACGCTATACCGAATGTCACCATTTTCTCATTCTTTGTTTCTCTCTTTTTGTACTTTATATTTCTTTTGACTGCATTCTCTTATCTTCATCTTGCACCTCACTGCCTTTTTACTTGATGTACTAATATGAGGTGTGGCAACTCGGACCGTTATGTGGTAATGCCTGGTCCTAGGTTGATCTGGATGGATGGATCAAGTTATGGATTATCTAGTTTCTACTGGGTGATGATTGAAGTTGAGATGAAAATCTGCACCGTGATTGGATTCGAACCAGCGACCACTGAGTTACTGGCCCGGTGTTCTACCAACTGACCTACGAGGTCCGACTGCTGACCAGAATTTTATTTCACTTCAATCGCCATGGGTTTTGCCCGACTACCATGTGAATTCATGATGCATTACTACCGTTTAATCGTATTCACACTGGCTGCCTAGTCAGAACATCTCATATCAATCCAAATATTTAGTTTGTCTAGAGATTTCGAGTTCAATCTTACAAGATAAATTGTTCACCATATCCTTATTTCTGATATCAGCTTTCAGTGAAGGCTATCCACAATTGAATAGGTAATTTGTTCACTGCTCACTTTCCTAATTGGTGTATACCCTTTAGAAAACATCAAATACTTTGGGCTTGGTAGATACTCCGTATTGGTGAGTCTACACAAGTAAAAAGAAGCTACATGTTGGAGCCTTTTGTCAGTAGTTTCTAGTTGTCTTGTTAAACGCTGTCGATTCTGCTATTGTTTACATTATGTAACACCCCCTCTGATGCATTTCATCAACTAGATACCAAACAAACTAAGAATAAAGTTTTTCTTTGAAGCCCAGTTTTGATTTTTAAGGACACTAGATTTGACAATCATATAGACGCTTGCGTCCTAACATGATAGCTGTGTCTCTTTTCCAAGTGCTAAAACCTTCGTGTGGTTAGGTGAGTTGTCTCAACGGGTTCCACGCCGTTCATTGTTTGTCAACCCTTGGACTGGATGAAACAGGCGGGGGGATGGTCAGTGTATGACATGGCACCGTGAGATGAAGGGTAGTTGTATTGGGTTAGCATTTGTTGGTGCGCCACGACTCCCTGGGTGGGGTGGGGTTTGAGAGATGACGCAACTCAGTGTCGTGAGATGTTATAAGAAATGTCTGAGGATCGAAATCAGCGTTGGTCATGCTGTAGCTTCCTTCTGTCTTCTGCTCCTGTACCATGTTTGTTTTCTAATAATAATAGTGAGTCTAGGTGGTCTTGGAAATCAAAGAATATGGGGGGGGCTTGTGAGGATTTAGAGATTTCCAAGTTGGTATTCTTCATGGACTGAAATTGGTTGGAGGAACACTGGAAACCTGGGAGCGCTGGACAGCTGTTCCGTCCTAGTATAGGACTCTCCAGCAGTGTGCATCCATGACCCCCTACCAGGGATCGAATCCACGACCTTCAGGTCCCGTGACCAGCACGTTACCATTGAGCCACTGGGTCGGCGGAATCCAGTGGTCCATATTTCCAACTTCCGTCAGTTCACGACAGTATGACCGCCACCCAGTGTCATCGTTGAGTATTTGTCCACACAGCCACCAGGTTTCCCCAATGGACTGATATCAGTCCATGATGGATACCAATTTGAAAAATGTCAAAGAATATCTTCAAAAGATTGTGATGGTTTCATAAGAGGTAACTGGCTAATAGAATAGTTAGAAACCAAATTTGTTCAGCCTTGGATTTTTCAAACCAGATTGAAGTGATCTATGCGTTGAGTAGGGTTTGCGCTCATTTTTATTGAAGTGGGTGCACCATCGACGCATCTGGATAAACTCAAATCAGAACCCTTGGTTAGCTCACTCGGGTGAACCTTTTATATTATAAATCCTTATCGATAATAAAGATTATATAATATTTAACAAACTACTGAATTGCATCATTGATTCTGACCAAATTGCTTCAAAATAAATCAAAGGAAAAATAAGAAATAATGTAACATTGATGCTTGTAATTTCTGGTTGTTATGCTGTGTGGTATTGATTAATCTCTGTTGGTATGTGGGTTCATATGTTACATGCCAACAGATATCGATCGACTATATCCAGTATAACGTGTACTGGGTCTGAGCCGCGGTGGAAGTACTATCACTCACTTGGATGCAGATACATCCAGCTAGCGGGTTCCAAAAAGAACGAAATGTGCATCCTGGACTCCACTGCTGGCCACTATCTAGCGAATCCATCCATCCAAATCAATATAGGACCAGGCATTACCACATAACGGTCCGAGTTGCCACACCTCATATCAGTACATCAAGTGAAACGGCAGTGAAGTGGAAGATGAAGAAAAGAAAATTCAGTCAAAAGAAATATGAAGTACAAAAAGAGAGAAACGAAGAATGATAAAGTGGTGACATTCGGTATAGCATCGCTAAGATGAGGATACTGTATGTATACATCTGCGCCACTGACATCGGTTTTGAGCCATGTCATCACCCAGAGTCTCCAACCACTGGTTCCTCTTGTCCCGCAAACCCCAACCGGGTTAGTCTGCATCGCCCCACATGGCTCAAACCAACAGTCAGAGACTTCATACATTGTGCCATGTTTTAGTCTGGCTGTCTGGGGCCTTTATCCAGTGTGGACCTACGTAGCACTTGTCCCAACCATCTCGGTCGATGAATGTCCACAACTCAGCAAAATAACAAGTTGATAGAATCATTTAAGTCCTGATTTCGCGGTGAAAAATATTGAACCAGATCGTCAAGGTGTAGAATTACTTAGTTGAATTCTGAAATAGAGTGTGCTACTGATGTTTCTCAAACTAGTTTCTAAGATGCATCTAATAGACTGATGAAGATGTCCAAGCATATATGGAAGTCCAGAATGGCATGTGCTAATTTGGTCACCTTTGCATTCGTTGTGATATTAGTTAACCTTGTTGTATAAGGCGGGGTATACAACATGTCGGTGCGGGCAGTTTTTCTTTACGCATGTGAAGCTTGATCTCCAAACTCTGAAGATGTCAGACGACTGCTTGTTCGATCACCGTTATCTCCGTGAGTAATTTTGAGGTAAGGCGTGGTGTGTTAGTGCATGATGGAGATGATGATTCATCGAGTTTGGTCATCTTAAAATATCGGCTTTGATGGCTTGGACCAGTGTGTTACGTATATTATCTGAGAGACTAACACACTGCTTGTTGGAAAATATGACCTAGCACTGTGAGATGAACAACAATTGTGTTGGGTTGGCATCTACAGGTGTCTCATATCTCCCTGGATGGGGTTCCAAAGATAATACAACTCAGTGACTTGAAACGACAGCATTGTTCGGAATTAAAACAGGTGGGGATCGTGCTGCAGCTTTATTGTTCCTTCTATTACTAAAAACTAGGATTTAAGTAGTTAATGCTTCTTTGTTTATATCTTTAAGAATGCTTCTCTAATAACCGGTTTCTGTTTCTCATCATTTACATCGTCTAAATATTGCTAGATTATTTTATATGGCGCATCTCTTAGTGCCTATTATGCTGCATCAAGTTTGTGTTCTTAACCCATAATGATAACATTGGTCTAAGGAATTAAACTTCAAGCAATGGATCTGAAGTTCCAAGATGGTTCCACCTATTTTCACCTAGGCAACTGAATGGTATCACAAACCCTTATGCAATAAGATTGCCTAATAGCCTTGTTCTTAAATATACGCTAGGTTCATTATTCTAGGTTAAAACAGTGAATGGTCTTCAAACAGATGATAGGTTTATAATTAACTTGAGAAAACATTTTCCGTTAGACTCACTTGTTGTGGAAAGGATAATGACGATCTCCAGAATGACATTTCGGTGACCTTCCAGCTGAACCACAAAATCTGAGCGTTGAATAGATTTCACGCCTACTTCACACTATGTATTGAATTACTCCAAGGTAGATTTGACTCCCTTTCAAATGCAGGTATTATCTCTCGGTCCAAAAGTTTATGATACCTCAGTGAATGCCAGTGATTTAGACATAAAAGTCCAGTTTGAAAATCTGATCAACCAAACAAATGATCTCCTACCAGTTTCAAACAAGAGACTTGAACAGTTCAAATCTACTGTCTTTAATTGCTGTCATCAATACCCTAATACGAAGCCACAATGCAAACGATTGTTGACAAATGAGCATAGAAACCAACTGCATGAAATCTTGAAAAATAAAGATTTGCTGCTAGTTCATCCAGATAAAAGCGCTGGTATTGTCCTCATGGATCGTTCGGATTACAACACAAAAATGGTCTCTATCTTATCAGATATGAGTAAATTTTCCAAAGAGTCTGCTCAAGATGATGCCACTGAACAAAAGCTCACCCAAATTCCAAAGAAAATGAAGAATGAATCTATCATCAGCCCCGAACTATTCGAGCAGTTGTGACCTTCTGATTCCGTTACTCCTCGCTTAAATGGCCTCCCGAAAGTCCACAAAGAATATCTTCCTCTTCGTCCAATTTTGGACATGAACAATTCACCATATCATTCTATCGCCAAGTGGCTATCTGACGTCCTCCAGCCAGTCAGAAAACAGCTTATTGGATTCCTTCGAATTTGTCAACTCAATTAGTAATGTCAATATATCGGGTAGGCGAATGATTTCTCTGAACATGGTCTCGCTCTTTACCAATGTCCTACTCACGGAAACTATCTGCTTTCTATGTGAGTTCATTGAAGATAATAATGTTCAGTGGGTATCCCAAAGCATTATTTAAAGGAATTGCTTCTAAGATGTACTTTCAATGTGCAGTTCAAATTCAACAATGATCTACATAGACAAAAGGATGGGGTCGCCACTTGGATCGTTGCTGGCTGATTGCTTTATGGAGAAGCTAGAGAATAGTGTGCTGCATTCAACAATTGATAGTTTCTACCTATATAAAAGATATATGGATGACACATTCATCATAATCGATCGAAATACAGATATTGAGACTGTAGTTAAAACGTTCAGTGATTGTCACCCATCGATCAGCTTCACAACAGAGTTTGAAGAGAACTTTGAATTCCATTTTCTCGATGTTTTATTGAAACGGAGACCAGATGGTTCTCTTCAGCGATCAATTTATAGGAAGCCTACTTGGGACGGACAATATTTGAATTTCCACAGTTGGATGCCTCTCAGCAGAAAAAAGAATCTAATCCATTCTTTATCTTCAAGAATCAGCAGAATCTGCACCAGTTATACTATTGACGAAGAATTAGATAAACTACGGAAGATTCTTATGCAAAATGGATATCCATCCAGATTTATTGATAAGAACTTGAAAGTAAATCAGAATACGGAGCAAGTACTCACAGTTCCTAAGAAAACCTTGTTTATGCACGTTGTTTTCAAAGGCGATACGGCAGCAGAGATCCTGAAGAATTGGCTGTCCAGATCACTGAAGGTGACATTCTTCTCTGCAAAACTGCAGATCAGCTTCTCTAGTCAATAACTCATTCCTGAGTGCGTTAAGGACAAGTTACCACTTTGGACCACCTTGATGTGTGTCTACAAATTCACTTGCTCCTGTGGAGCTAGTTATATAGGCCACACAAAGCGCACACTTTCCAAACGAATCTCTGAGCACTATCCTGTATGGTTGTCGAGGGGAGAATGTAAATCAATTAACAATTCAATTCTTGAACATTTGGTCAACTCTAGACATAAAACTATACCAGAATCTTCCTTCAATGTCATTTATCGTGTCAGATGGATTAGTTGGAAAGGAGTAAGCCTTCGACAGTTGTGCACAGCGGAGGCACTGGCAATTCATTAATTCAAGCCTGATCTCTGTATGTAAAAGAAGTATGTTCAATCTCCCATCTCTTACCATGGTCTTAACACTTTCACAAATTTTCGATTTCATTATGACTCGTCTCATTCTTCATCTTCTTTACACCTATGTATCAAGTGGACACTCAATATTTGGCTTTCTTATCTACCAATAATTTTCACCTTATCAAACTCCTCGCCTTCCTCGATATTTCTACTCTCCTGGATTATTACGCAACTACTTTGCATTCTTGATTCCGGTTTTTGTAGCACTTGGTTAGTGATGTAATTATACCCTATTGTTTTATAATGGACTGTTGTATGTTTATGATATACATAAATACGATTGTACAGTTTTAGAAGAAGGATATCGTCGAAAAAGAAAATTTTCCTCGCTGAATTATCTCTTCATTATACAGTTGATTCACTACGCAACTAAATATTTCCACTTATAAGAAATGAATGTTGCGTATTTTTTTCTTCATTTCCAAAAATATTTACAGATTCCTCTTCGTTCAGGTGATATGTTAACAGTTGATGTGATAGAGGAAAAATCGATTGTCTCCATTGACTTACCAAGAGAAAATATACAATCTCAAGATTGTCAAGTACCAGCTATTGTCCCAACAAATACAATAACCAATAGACAATCAGAATCACGCATAGTTCGACTATGCGCACCATCAGATAATTCTTGTCTCTTTACAAGTGCTCTATTCTGTGTGAATAATCATGATAATCATCTAAAGATTGGTACAGAAGTTGTAACAAATATGGCTGCTGTTAATCAACTAAGAGAATTAATTTCTGGTATTGTACTTAGTGATCCAGTAAAGTATTCTGAAGCTTTTCTTGGTGTATCGAATGAAGAGTATTCCCGTCAGATTAGACGAGTAAGTTTTACTTTTAGTTTGAAGGTATTCTTTATGTATGCTAATTAATGTGTTGTCACCCATGTGCGTCACTTAAACAAACCGCAATGTTCTCTCTGTAATATAGTGTTGTAAGGAGTAGTTGGGAAGTGGGGTTGGTCTTAAAGATTATGCAACCTGTCTCATTATACAAAGTTATAACTCTTCTGTACAAAAGTAACTTCAGACATTATATTGCATTCTGTTTGATCCAGAACATGCGTTTCGTTCCACTTGGGGATTTATCGGTTGGATGTACCTGCACTCCACTGAGTGATATTGTTCCCACTGAGACTCGAACCCAGTACCCGTCACTTCAAAAGCCAAACCATTGTCAGTTATGTTATGTTTTCGAACGCTAATGGTTATATATATATTCCGAAACGAATATAATACGCGCACTTAGCTGACAGCCGACTTAGTACGCAAGAGCCACTGACTGCAACCCCGGGAGAACAGAGAGAAGACCGAAGCTGGATCATGGAAGAGTTTGTTACTCCGAGAATAAAATAATCGATCAATCCAAAACACGTGAATAAGTACACACATAAAATATGACCTTGTCCTTAATTCGAGGCATTTGCACAGTAAGAGTAAAGATTAACCAATTAGCGATTTACGTTACAATCGGGCAGAGAATAGACTACTAGTCATACCTTAAAAAATGGTGTGGCAATGACACGTTAAAAATGTTCAGATCGATAACAATGTTTTATACGAAATTGGGGCATCACAACAAGTTAGGCCCCCGAGGTACGAGTCGCATCTTGTGCAACAAGTACCAGTTATTATTTCGTGGTACTTATAATTTCATATCGACCTGTGTTGGCATATGGGCTCCTATCCCGATACTTCGTCATTGCCTGACTATGGATTATGTTGTAATTTGCTTGGTGGTGCCTAGCAGTGGAATAATAACTGATACCTGTTAATCAAGGGGTGGCTGTCATGACTCAGTGGCCTAATGGAGCAATGGTTACTTTGTTCCGTTCCATGTGAGAATAACACTCACTAGAGTCCAGGAACATTCACCTGATGAGTCCCGAACGGGAAGAAACGCGCGTCCTGTATTCCATTGCTAACCACCACCGTGTAGATTTCAAGAAAATGAATAGTCAGACAATATCGAGGCATCCGCATAGGAGCTTGTGTACCAACAGAAATCGGTCAACTAATCGGTTCCTTACTACCAACCCTCATAAATAGCACTGAAATAATGTGATTGGTTGATTTCTCCTGTTTGAATGAATTGATCGAGGTCATATTGTTCTGACTGGTCAGCTTTTCCGTCTGGCCAAGTTTGCCTTGATTTGATTGGTTAGATCATTCTTAGTAGAGGGTATGCCTCACACTGGCTAGCTGATATGCTCCAGTTGAACAGAGGTTCACGTTAATTTGTTTTCGTAGCATGGGTTTGGCTAAATCAATAAGGTGGCTCGAAGCGTGTGATAATTATCTTGAACTAATTAATTGACTGCCTTTCCCTTAACTGATACAAAAAACTACGCAACAGCATATTCGCTCAATGCGTGACTGTTCACAGTTTCAGTAGGATTAGGATTATATTAGGATAGACAAGACGAAAAGCATGACTGAAGTGTGATTTCCACTTCACGCTGAAAAAGTTTGGTACTGTTTCCAGCCGGTTGTAAAACGTCGACTGACCTTGAGGATAAGATTAAAAAGTCAGTGGATCTCGTCAGCTATTTGGTAATTAGTAGATGCTCATGAACGCACTCCCGCAGCTTCCAAGCACAATAAGGAGGAGAAGCAGCTCAAAAGTAGACTGAAAAAGAGTTAACATAGTAACCGTGAACAGTAATAGGCAATGGAAGCTAAAGCGATGGAACAGATGGCTGCGATAGATAACAACAGACAGTTGTTTAAACTAATCAAGGGATCTGGAACAAAAAAACCGATGGTTAGTGGGTCAGCGGTAGAGAAGGAAACTAATTTTATTATGTATGCTGATGACCTGGTGGTGTCTATCCCAGTCAACCTTCACTTAGATTATTATTATTGGTCCCTTGGGTTCCTAGTGGAACATACGGTTTCAGTAGCACGCCTCCAATCCACTCTCTCATCTGCAATCTTTTCAACCTGGCTCCACGGACAATCCACAAGCTCTCATTTCCTCCTCACACCATCTCCTTCATGTCACCCTCGACTCAGACGCCCAACTCGTCGCTTCCCATCTGAGTTCCACTCGAGGGACTGGTCTGACACGTGATATCCCCCCAGTCACCCTTCTCAGTGTATGTCCAATCCATCTCCACTTCCTTCTGCATATTTGTTAGGTGATAGGTTCTTGGTTGGTTCGTCGCCGGCCGGCCAGCCAGCCAGAGTTCCTCCTTGCTTATTCCTATTATTCTGGCCATCTCATCTTCAGTAATGAGCCAGTGTAGGCAGTTGTTGATGAATGTCTGTAGTTTATTGGAAATCCCTTTTGTAACGCGTCAAGTCTCTGAACCATACAGAAGCACTGACTTGACTGATATTGGTGTTGAAAATCCGGATGTTGTTCCACATGCTGAGTGCAGATCTCCACATTGGTTTCAGGTTCATGAACGCCTGTCTTGCTGTCTTTCCGATCCTGGCTACTTTGACGTCCTCGTCTGTGCCACCGCCTGTAGCTGAAACAGTGCTGCCTAGATAGATGAAAGAGGCCACTTCCTTTTATTTCCTCCCGTTGATGGTGATTGGTGCCTGTTGGTGGTGGCATTGGTTGGGTATCTTCATCACATCCGTCTTCTCTACGTTCACCTGAAGGAAGTTCCGTCTTCGCTGCCCTGCCTCTTCTGTCAACTTGTTAGTTTTTGCCTGTAGATCTTCAAGTTTGTGTGACATCAGACACAAGTCATCGGCGAAATCGAAATATTCTTCTGGGGTCTTTTCCTCGATCCAGCCAGCGTATGCCCCTCTTCTCACTCATTGTTTGTTGCATGATCCAGTCCACTACAGTCCGGAAAGTCATGGATGATAGTAAGCAGCCTTGTTTTATTACTGTCTTCATTTCAAAAGCATCACTGGGCTTCCATTGTGAATTACTTGACATGTGGCGTCTTCATACAGTTGTTGAATGAGTTTGATAAAGGTTTGTGGTATTCCGTAGTGTTGAAGCAACTGCCTGCCAAATTACTTCTCGGTCGACGCTGTCGAAGGCCTTTTCAAAGTCGATGAAGTTGAGGTAGAGAGTTGACCGCCATTCTATACTTTGTTCTATGGTGATGCGTAGCGTAGCGTTGCAATTTGGTCCGCACATGATTTGTACTTCCCGAATCTATCGTGTTCTGGTCGTAGTTTTGAATCCAGCTAATCCTTTAGTTTCTCCAGGATGATGCGGCTTAATATTTTGCTTGGGGTGGACAGGAGGATGATTCCGCGCCAGTTCTTGCAAAGGCTTAGGTCTCCCTTCTTCGGGAGTTTGACAAGGTAGCACTTCTTCCAATCTGCAGGTACCTTTTCTTCTTTCCAGACCTTCTGCAATAATGGTGTGAGCATGTCGGCTGTTGTCTCTGCGTCTGTTCTCAGTGCTTCGGGTGGGATTCCATCTGGTCTTGCTGCTTTCCCGCATTTCAGTAACTTTATGGCGCTCAGGACTTCCACTTTCGTCGGAGGGCTTGTGTTCACTTGTAGCTCTGTGGCTGCAGGTGGTATTTTTGGACCAAGTGCAGGTGGTTGTGGTGGTCGATTCAAGAGCTTTTTGAAGTGGTCGGTCCATCGTTTTTTTTTTCTTATCATCATCATCATCATCATCATCATCTTTTCACTTAGATTGCTCTGAATTAAGTGGATTCCTGTCTTTTATTGACCAATGGTCACTCTCATATCGTCTCAAGTTAAACCATTGTAGATGTCAGACTGTTAATTTTAGCCTCAGACGTAAAGAAGATGAACTTGGATGAGTTGTTTAAGTCTCAGCACGCTTGTTGCATTGATAGTATTTCTGAAGAAAGTAAATCGAGTGTTAACTATCTTGGATTGAGTTCTACTTCTAACCTTTGTTAGTCGTCTCATATTTTATTGACTTGTAAAGAAATCTTTCGATTAACATATTACATAATGAGACTGAGACTCTCCGGTATAATTCACTGTCTCTACTTATACAGTTTATAAATTCCTGCATTTCACCTGTTCTTCTCTATTGTTTTCCGTTGATCTTTCCTGGTCTACTAGAAAAGGACTTTTTTATGTTGTTGAGTAGGGCTTTAAAGCTGTCAGTAGTGTGAGTGGTTGGCTTCTGGCTCAACTGATTAACACTGTAGTTGATAGCTTCGGTAGTTTTAACGGACAATGAGCATCCACTTCATCCACAGCTATCTCTCTCCTTGTATCTCTTCAGGGAGGACAAGAAGAACAGTACTCACATATCCACTCCGTAGCGGTTACCAATCTCATTTCAATAATTTTAATTAACACTGGGAAATGTTCTCTTTATTATTATTCTTTGCATTATTGAGTATATCATGCTGAGAATTCCAAATTGTACCATAAATTGTTCAGAATAAAGTGGATTATTATTAGTATTATTATTTTATCAAGTTTCTAATGACTTCAAGTGAATACAGAGAAGATGGATGTGATGAAGATACCCAACCAATGCCACCACCACCAACAACAACAAGCACTAATCACCATCAACGGGAGGAAATAAAAGGAAGTGGCCTCTTTCATCTATCTAGGCAGCACTGTTTCAGCTACAGGCGGTGGCACAGACGAGGACGTCAAAGTAGCCAGGATCGGAAAGACAGCAAGACAGGCGTTCATGAACCTGAAACCAATGTGGAGATCTGCACTCAGCATGTGGAACAACATCCGGATTTTCAACACCAATATCAGTCAAGTCAGTGCTTCTGTATGGTTCAGAGACTTGACGCGTTACAAAAGGGATTTCCAATAAACTACAGACATTCATCAACAACTGCCTACACTGGCTCGTTACTGAAGATGAGATGGCCAGAATAATAGGAATAAGCAAGGAGGAACTCTGGCTGGCTGGCCGGCCGGCGACGAACCAACCAAGAACCTATCACCTAACAAATATGCAGAAGGAAGTGGAGATGGATTGGACATACACTGAGAAGGGTGACTGGGGGGATATCACGTGTCAGACCAGTCCCTCGAGTGGAACTCAGATGGGAAGCGACGAGTTGGGCGTCTGAGTCGAGGGTGACATGAAGGAGATGGTGTGAGGAGGAAATGAGAGCTTGTGGATTGTCCGTGGAGCCAGGTTGAAAAGATTGCAGATGAGAGAGTGGATTGGAGGCGTGCTACTGAAACCGTATGTTCCACTAGGAACCCAAGGACAAATAATAAATAATAATAATAATCATTATTATTTTATCAATTTCCTAATGATAAAGTGATATATGTTTCATTTGTTTACTGTTTTTTTCATTACAATAGCCAGACCAATGGGGTGGAGGTATTGAAGTATCAATCTTATCACAATTGTATGAAGTTGAAATTTGTATTGTAGACATTGAATCCTGTCGAATTGATCGTTTCGGTGAAGATCGAAATTATCCTCAACGTATATTACTCATTTATGATGGTATTCATTATGATCCATTAGCACAAGAATGTCCAAAACGAGATTGCCTTGTTACTGTGTTCCCAACAAATGATAACTCAGTAAGTTATTATTATTATTTTTATTAATATATCCATTAGTCATCAATTCTGACTTGTTCTTATTGTTGTTGTTGTTGTTTTGCTCTCAATGTTGAGTAGTCATATATGAAGGAGTAAAACAGGAATCGAACCCATGACCTCGATGATGTTTGACAAATGAAACACAATTGACTATGAAGATTGAAGGAGGCGTGTTTCAATCTGGTTTTTAGAGTTGTTTGAAAATCTGCATTATATTCAATCAAGCATAGCTTAGTGAAGAAGAAGGAATAAACTTTATCGATAAGTAACTCTTCAGGTTCTATGGTTATCTTATTCATAATTTAGTTGAGTGTATTAACAGAAATTTGCCAGTTAATAGTAATAAACTGTTCATATTATTCATTTAGAGAATTCTTTTGAAGTAATATGAAATTTTTCATGAAATGCATTTCATTATATGGTTCAGAGATTTGGCGCGTTACGAAAGGCATTTCCAACAAACTACAGACATTCATCAACGACTACCTACCCTGACTGGTTACTGAAAATCAGATCAGATAGCCAGAATAATGGGAATAAGCAACAAGGAAGTTTGGCTGGCAACCAACCAAGGACCTATCGATCAACAAATATGCAGTAGGAAGTGGAGAGATGGGTCTGATTGAGCATACACTGAGAAGAGCATTTGGGGACATCACGCATCAGGCCAGTCCCTCGAGTGAAACCCGCGTGGGAGATGACGATTTGGGCATCTGAGTTGAGGGTGACATGGAGGAGATGGTGTGAGGAGGAAATGAGAGCTTGTGAGCAGTCGTGGAGCCAAGTTTTGAAGATTGCAGATGAGAGAGTGGAATGGAGACGTCCTACTGAAACTGTATGTTCCACTAGGAACCCAAGGGACAAATAATAATAAGTTATATATATGAGGCTGTAGCTCATTCGTTTGGGCAGTTGGCTTTCCATCAGTGAGCAGTTAAATAGTATTGTAATGGGTACTATTGATAAGGATGGATATCAGTAGTATGTGCTGACAGGTCGGTAGAAATCATAGACAATTACCAGTAATCGGTAAATATTCTGCTCAGAGGAACGCAAGAAACAATGTGGGCGTATTGAGAGCAAATCGAGATAGAAGCAGAAAAGGAAATAAAGCATATTGTGGGAATGATTGTCTTAATGGAAGGTGTACAACATTTGATGACTAGTGTACAAAATGTCAATAATAAAAATTCGTTCATGCGTCTCAGTCTTTATCGCTTCCTACAGTATCACTAACCCTCATACAATTGGTGGTGACTGATAAAATTAACGTAGAACCTCACACTCAGGTGCATCACCTCAAGTTTCCACACTTCACAGTAGTATACAAAGAACAGGTAGGTAGAAAAAGGGCGATATCAAAGACAAAGAGAGTAAGCAAACTGAAGATAAAGGTTAGTGTGAATATTCAAGCTTTAGAAGATGAGTGAATGCATCTCCTGGAATGCGATCGATTTCTAACCGTGTCACCAACCGTGCCAACCGCTGATTCCTATCGTCTTGGACACCCCAAGCAGACATTCTACATCTCTCCACACAGCTCAAATCAGCAGTCACACCATTCACCGACTGGCCACACTGAACACTCTTGTAACCTCACCCTACCCCCCCCCCCCGCAGTATGCCACGTTAAGGTAGGAGGTAGCTAGGCATCTCCAATACATGCGCAAGGCACTTCAGTCGACTACGTTTTACAGCCTGCCTTTTACCTGAATATGCACATACTAACATTAAGGTATGAAGACCAAATACTTCAGGAGATTTCGACTCTAAGTAAACAGTAATGGATTTTATAATTATAGAATGCTGGCGATAAAGTTTAAAAATGAACTGTTTCCTGGTATGTACACTGCTGTCTTTAGTAAAACGTATTCCAGTTAGTATAGCTCATATAGACGGTAACCAGAATATAGACAAGGTTGCTTTCCTGATGAGTGTGTAAGAAGCATAAAACCCAGGTCAAACAAAGCTTTCTGTCAATTACCTCCAACTTTTTAACATCCATCTAGATTAACCTAGGACCAGGCATTACTGCATAACGGTCTGAGTTGCCACATCTCATATCAGTACATCAAGTGAAAAGACAGTGAGGTGCAAGATGAAGATAAGAGAATGCAGTCAAAAGAAATTTAAAGTACGAAAAGAGGGAAACGAAGAATGAGAAAATGGTGAGATTCGGTATAGCGTTGTTAAGATGAGGATACTGTATGTATACATCTGCGCCACTGACATCGGTTCTGAGCCATGTCATCACCTAGAGTCTCCAACCACTGGTTTCTCTTGTCCCGCAAACCCCAACCGGTTAGTCTGCATCATCCCAAATGGCTCAAACCAACAGTCAGAGACTTCATGCATTGATGCCATGTTTTAGTCTGGCTGTCTGGGGCCTTTATCCAGTGTGGACCTACTTCGGCCAACATTGTGTGACTAGGCATACGGCGACTGGGTATACGTAGCACTTGTCCCAACCATCTCAAACGATGAAGGTTCATAACCTCGTCCACTGACTTACCTCTACTCCCTAAAACTGTATACCTGACTTTCGCATTACTCACATGGTGACACCACAGAATACGGTCTATACTACGAAGGTAACGGTGGTGAAACACTTGAAGCCTTCTCATGTCTTCCACCTTCAATGGCCCTATTTCACAGCCATATAGCGAACAGAGTGGACTACTCTGCAGTACACGCAACCCTTGACAGACAATCGGATATCACGATGGTGCCACAGGTGGAGTAACATAGATTGGCTTTACATTTAGGAAACCTCCGTTTAAAGTTTCTTGGGTTAAAAGTCTCTCCTGCTGTACCCAGATGTCTTCATAGGATTGCCCGTGTTTAGCGGAATCACCGTGTCAGCAGTGAAGGGTACAAGGCAAGAAAGGCGAATTGATTGGTGAGTTTATGAACTTTAGTCGACTGAGATAGCTTAGATATATACAACATATGCCGAACTAACATCTACCTCGACTTACAATGGTAGGGAAAGTTGGATGAGGGTTCACGGTGGTCAGACCAAGACCTGGCACTAGTCGATGAAGTCTCCTATTGTTGGTCTGAGTCATGTGGGGAGATGTAAACTACCTGGCTGGGATCCTCGAGACTTTAGATACCCGTAGGTGAGAACGTTTGGTGACAATGACGCTGTTTAATGTCTTCTAAATCTTGAATGCTTTTTACTAACTCTACTTTTTAGATTCTATCTCCTACTTTGATATCAGTCTTTTTCTATCCAGTTGTTCTTTGTATACTTACTGAGAAGTATGACAAGTTGAACTGATCCACCAGTGTATAAGGTTTTACGTTAATTTTGTCTGTCAGCAATAATAATCTCCAGATTATCTTTTTACAGTTGTTTAATACATGCTGTTTCTTCTCAACTGACTCTTGTCAGGACTAGCATAAGGTCTGTATAGAGATAACACCATTTACATGAATGACATCATAGATATTTCGGCTTTACTCTCATATAATTTAGTCAATCAAGTGTATCAGAATTAAGAATTCTATTTCGTATACTTCATTACTACCCTAAAATCTAGTACCTGAATTAGTTTATAAATATTATTATGCAAAAATTCCCATTTAGACATTTAGTAAAACAAACAATATGAGCGAAGAAATATTTCTTTTCAATTATTTCCTCATCAATGGCTCTACACTAATGTATGTAGCATTTTCAAACGTAAAATTACATACCAATCTAGTGGTGAGAGTTGTTCAATGAAAGGTTATCAATCTCAAAGTATCAAGAAGGTGATAATTGATCAGGTAATTAAGACAGTTAACTAAAGCAAAGATTAATTATCGTAGAAAGATTTTGTGAACAGGTTCTTACATAATTGATTCATTTCGCCGTCGCATGGTATGGAGAGTTTGACATGTCGAGAATCGGTCGGAGTGGTAATCGATTCTTCGCAAAATCTTTCTACGATAATTAATCTTTGCTTTAGTTAACTGTCTTAATTACCTGACCAATTATCACCTTGTTGATTCTTTGAGATTGATAGCCTTTCATTGAACAACTCTCACCACTAGATTGGTATGTAATTTTAAGTTTTGAAAATGCTTTATTAGTGTAGAGCCATTGATGAGGAACTAATTGAAAAGAAATATTTCTTCGCTCACATTGTTTGTTTTACTAAATGTCTAAATGGGAATTTTTGCATTACTGAAATCTTCTGAGCATCGGATTGCGTTAAAGATCCTCAATGAGTATCCGAAGTTATTTATCACATTCCTTCTCACCTCACCCATCCTCTACGAGTTCGTCTTTTACATACAGCAGAAGCCATAGGAATCCACCTACACAAGCCCAGTCTGTGTGTTCAGAAGAGATTCGTACAGCCTCTTTCTTTGCCTTGGCCATCTGTATAGCTCATTTATTACAACAAGACTCTTCATTTCATCCACCACACAATTCACTATAACTAGTATTTCAATAGCTCCATTATTATTATTATTATTATTATTATTATTATTATTATTACTATTATTACAGGCTTGATCATCTTCCTCTCCCCCTACTGTCTCTAATTACCGCCAACAATTTACCATTTTACGTAACAGTTCATTTTCGCTCTTTAGTTATCATTATACAAAATATCAATTATGTAAGAACCTGTTCACAAAATCTTTCTACGATAATTAATCTCTGCTTTAGCTAACTGTCTTAATTACCTGACCAATTATCACCTTCTTGAAACTTTGAGATTGATAACCTTTCACTGAACAACTCTCACCACTAGATTGGTATGTAATTTTACGTTTGAAAATGCTACATACATTAGTGTAGAGCCATTGATGAGGAACTAATTGAAAAGAAATATTTCTTCGCTCACATTGTTTGTTTTACTAAATATTATTATTACTACTTAATTCAAAGTTTTTGCTGTTTCTTTTAATCATATTTATATGCTTAGATTCTTTTGGAAGCTCAACAATTAGCGTCTAAAGCACGTGCTGAATGGGCTTTTACAGATTTAGCTTCATTCACCTTACTGTGTCGTCAATGTGATGCACCTTTAGTTGGTCAAGCTGCTGCTCAAAAACATGCACAATTAACAGGTCATACACAATTCAGAGAGATTGCTCATTAAATAGACAATATATCTGTATTCTTATGTTTATCCTTCTCTTCTTTGTCTTTTGTGTAAATGATGAGAATTACACTATTGACAATTGTTTATCATCTTATCTCAATGGTAGTCTGTGTACTGAAACTGAATCCTTTTGTGTGTGTGTGTGTGTGTGTCTACTTCAATCTGCTGTTCTGATTTGCTCAAATTCATACACATATATATATATATATATATATATATATATATATATATATATATATATACATTCAAGGTGTCAACATTGACTACCTAAGGTATACATTGAAGAGCAGTTAATCATTATCCAAGTGATTTATATGTACAATATGTGTAGAAGAGGACCAGTTTATGTTGTGTAGAAGAAACTGTGAATTTAGTTGTGTGTATAGTAATTATCACATTGTATGTCACTTTATTATTTATAATTTTGTTTTATTAGAAGACATAATGTGTGTAGTTGGTTTTTATGAAAATTATCCACCCTTATGTATTTATCTTTTATCTAATATGCTTAATTCTTATCTTGTTGAATTGGAAAAAAATTGATTGTGTTTTTCGATTTCATTATCTTCGTTATTTGTTGTATTGGTGGAATTCAGTTTTTTCAAAAAAATGTAATTTATTTTACTCATATTTGCTTGTTTTTCTTTGCGGGGGGGGGGAGGGTACTTACTTACTGTTTGTTTGTTCTTCTGATATGATTTGTGAAATGTGTTATTTTCTATGAGTTTATTTTGTTTTCGTTTTTCCGTAGAAATAGAATTTTATCGTCAGTAAGTGGATTTATCCTGTTGTCTGTTTATTTGAATTGTTACATAGTGGAACAGGATTATTATTATTATTATTATTATTTACTGGATAACGTTGTGGACATGATTTTTATAATCATTTAACTATTTGAGATAGTAGTCGCAGTTTGACAGACTATTGTTTCTACTGGGTGATGATTGAAAGTGACTGCATTTCAACCAGCGACCACTGGATTTCCGGCCGAATGCTCTACGAAATGAGCTACGAGGTCCAATTGTTGACTATATTTTTATTTCACTGAATGCGCAGAATTCTGCGCATTCAACGATTTGGTAATTGGAGGCAGTGTGTTCAAGCACAAGGATATCCACAAAGCGACATGGATTTCACCAGATGGACATACTAAAAATCAAATTGACTTTATCTCAATCTCAAGAAAATGGAGACGCAGTCTACTTAACACAAGGTCAAGAAGAGGAGCAGATGTAGGTTCAGACCACTCACCATCTAGTGCAAGGAACCTTCCAAATCAAGTTAAAAGCCTTCAAGGAAGCTGGTGATAGACCTCAATTCAAGTACAACACTCGGAAACTGAAGGATGAAACTACAGAGGACATCTTCACGTCAGCCATCAAGACAAAATGGGAGATATCGAGGAGCATCCCTGAAGAAATCTGTGTGGAAGAACACTGGAAGTCTTTGAAAGCTATGTGGAAAGAAACCTGCACAGCCGTATTAGGAAGGAAGAAGAAAGAAGACAAGGAATGGATCTCAATGGATACATGGAAGCTGATCGAGCAGGGAGAGGAGGATGGTGAGGCAGAAGATAAACCAGTGCAATGCAGGGACGCTCAACGACAAGAGGAACTGAGTACAATGTATAAAACACTACACTGGACAAAGAAGTGAAGAAGAGTGTATGCAAAGACAAAAGACACTTCTACGAAACACTGGCAAGTGAAGTAGAACAGGCTGCAAGTTGGAGAGACAGAGACCTGACAACATTGTATCAAATAACCAGGTTGCTATCTGGGAAGAGACCAACACAGATGAAACCAATAAAAGATGATGACGGAAATTTAATTACGAAAGAAGAGAAACAAAGAAAACGATGGGCCGACCACTTCAGAAAGCTCTTGAATCGACCACCACCTGCACTTCGTCCAGAAATACCACCAGCAACCTAGCCGCACAACTACAAGCGAACACATCCTCCCACAAAAGTGGAAGTCCTGAACGCCATAAGGCTGCTGAAATGCGGGAAAGCAGCAGGACCAGATGGGATCCCACCAGGAGCACTGAGAACAGACGCAGAGACAACAGCGGACATGCTCACACCACACCACTATTGCAGAAGGTGTGGAAGGAAGAGAAGGTACCTGGCCATTGATTGGAAGAAGGGCTACCTTGTCAAACTGCCGAAGAAAGGAGACCTGAGTGCTTGCAAGAACTGGCGCGGAATCACTCTCCTGTCCACCCATAGCAAGCAAAATATAAAGCCGCATCATCCTGGAGAGGCTTAAAGATGTACTGGATTCAAAACTGCGACCGGAACAGGCAGGCTTCAGGAAGTACAAATAATGTGCAGACCAAATTGCAACGCCACACCACGCAACATCATAGAACAGAGCATAGAATGGCAATCAGCTCTCTACCTCAACTTCATCGACTTTGAGAAGGCCTTTGACAGCGTCGACCGAGAGGTAATTTGGAAACTGCTTCATTACTACGGAGTACCGCAAACCTTTATCCACCTCATTCAACAACTATATGAAGATGCCACATGCCAGCCAAGTAATTCACAATGGGAAGCTTAGCTCAGTGATGATTTTGAAGTGAAGACAGGAATGAGTGAAACAAGGTTGCCTACTATCCCCCATGATATTCCTGATTGTGGTCAACTGGACTGGATCATGCAGCAAACAGTGGGGAGCTGTGAGAAGAGGGGGATACGCTGGCTGGACTGCGGAAGAGAACCTAGAAGACTTGGATTTCGCCGATGACTTGTGCCTGATGTCACATAAACTTGAAGATCTGCAGGCAAAAACTAACAAATTGACAGAAGAGGCAGCGAAGACGGGACTTCAAGTGAATATAGAGAAGACAAAGGTGATGAAGATGCCTCACCACCACCAACAACAACAAACTCCAATCACCGTCAACGGGAGAAACTTAAAGGAAGTAACCTCCTTCACTTATCTAGGAAGCACTGTTTCAACTACAGGCGGGACGGACGAGGACGTCAAAGTCAGAATCGGAAAAGCAAGACAGGCGTTCATTAGCCTGAAACCAGTGTGGAGATCTTCTGCACTCCAGCATGCGGAACAAGATACGGATTTTCAACACCAACCTTAGTCAAGTCAGTGCTCCTGTATGGTTCAGAGACTTGGCGCGTCACGAAAGGGATTTCCAATAAACTACAGACATTCATCAACAACTGCTTACGCTGGCTCGCTACTGAAGATCAGATGGCCAGAAAGAATAAGCAACAAGGAACTCTGGGAACGAACCAACCAAGAACCTACCACGCAACAAATATGCAGGAGGAAGTGGAGATGGATTGGGCATGCACTGAGAAGACCGACTGGGGACATCACGTGTCAGGCCAGTCCCTCGAGTGGAATCCCCATGGGAAGCGACGAGTTGGACGTCGGTGCCGAGGGTGACATGGAGGAGATAGTGCGAGGAGGAAATGAGAGCTTGTGGGCTGTCATGGAACCAGGTTCAAAAGATCTCAGAGAACAGAGGTCACTGGAGATGTGCTACTGAAGCCCTATGTTCCACTAGGAACCCAAGGGACTAATAATAATAATTAATCACCATGTAAATTCGTGACGCGTTACTATCGCTTAATTGTATTCACACTGGATGTCTAGTCACGACTTCTCATGTCAATCGAAATCTAGCTGAATCAAAGAGACGGAGTATCATTGTTGATTATCTTGGTTGTATTGTGTTCTCTGAGCTGGGTTGTTTAATCCTGGAGCTTTCATCGTCTTTCTCGACGATATCACCACTAACTTCAGTATGGATTGGGCTGACAATATCTCTCCGTCAGTGATTAACAATCAAAAGAGAAAATTAGAAAGCATACTCCCAACACAACACATGGCTACGTTAACAACAGCAATTGAAAAATCAAGCAGACAATACAGAATTAAGCTGCTTACAAGCATTCACAACAGAGGAAACAAACAACTGTGTTGCCAACTTATCAAAACAACCACTAACAAAAATCGAAGAACTTCTACTTCAAAAAGGATTGAATTATAACACAAGAGATGCCTCGAAATCAGAATTTTTCCCTACATTCGAATCGTCACTTAAAACATCAGCATTAAATGGGGCCACTCAACACGAAATACGGCAAGCAATCGTTCCACTGACCAGGCAGAACAAATATCACGCTTAAACGAACAGTCAAGAACAGAAAAGATTATACTTCCAGCAGACAGAGGACGCACTATGATAGTCATAAACAAAGAAGACTACATCACTAGGGCAGAGGATTTACTCAAAAACGAAAATGTATATGAACCACTTGAAACCAACCCTATCCAAAAGTTCGACGATCACATCAATAAAACCTTGAACAAACTCTTCAAAGCAGAAGAAATAACAAAACAAGACAAATTGCGAATGAAATCGAATAGACTTGTCCTTCATTGATTCTACGACAGACCAACACTACACAAACTAGACATACCTCTACGACCAGTAGTCTCAATTTCGGGTACTCCAACATGCAGCATATCAAGAGAACTTTCGAGAAAACTGAAACATCTCGTTCATTCATGCGGACGTTCCACCAAATCATCAACGGAATTCTTAGAAAAGATCAAAAGCATTAACTTCGAAAACGACGAATTAATGATATCCTTCGATGTCACAGCACTATACACATCCATCGAACCCCAACTGCCAAGGAAACAATATCCCTCCTGCTCAATGAAGACAAAAACCTTTCAGAACGCACAAAACTTAAATGTTCAAGTTTCATGGAACTTATCTACCTTTGTTTGACAATATACTTCCAATTCAATGGCAGGATATACAAACAGGTGAAGGAACTTCAATGGGATCACCGATATTCGGACTAATTGCAGAAGCAGTGATATAGAGACTGCAAGCCATCGTTCTACCTGGATTCGCTATGTGGACGACACTTTTGTCATCGTTACAACGGATGATATAGAAAACACCCACAGTTTGATCAACAACGTTTTCAATGACATCAAATTCACAATGGAGGAGGCGAACAACCAACTACCATGCCTGGATGTTTTGGTCAGTGGGACAAATGCTGGAAAGCTGGAAACCCAATTGTACAGGAAGCCAACACACACTGACCAAATCCTCAACTACAATAGCGACAACCCAACAACACACAAAATCAGTTGCGTGCAGACTCCATTCAAAAGAGCTAGAATACATTGCAAAACAACAACTTTGTGGAGAAACAAAGAAAATTACTTGATGTCCATCGTAAAGAAAAACGGCTACCCACGAAACTTTATCAGAAGATGCTTATCCCGTACATCATCAGCTACAAAGTCATCGACAGAAATCAACAAACGCATCATCCTACCATACATAAAGAATATATCAGAAATCATGACAAGATTACTGAAACCACTTGGAATTGGTGTGGCTCATAAAGCAACAGATTCCCTCCAGACCAAAGGATGCAACAACCAAAGAAGACAAACTGAATATCATTTACAAAATCAACTGGAATAACTGTAGTCAACACTACATTGGACAAAGTGGTCGCCCTCTTCGCCTTCGTCATTTACATGAACATCAAATTGGCTATTTAAACGTCACACTTGCGTTTCCTCACTCGTTTCAGTCCACGTGGATAACAACTATGGATATGAATT